GGTATCACGTAACATTATAAACAATGGTATCTTAATTTTCCATTTCATTTGAACAAATATTCTATTATTAGAACGACAGCGACCCTGGAAACTCTCATTAATCTATGATAGAGATATATGCGTCATAATTTACACTACCGCTTCATAACGATTGTGTCACAAAAGTGGTAGCCAATTATTATCATTGCTTGGGCTATCTATCTATTCTATAATCAATGCTTAAAGTAACTATCAAAACAATGTAGGAAGATTAGATATTTATATTATAGTGTTTTTCCTTATATATAAATGAATATTTAAGAACTTAAAAGTAGTCTTATACATAAAAATAGTTATTAGTGGATATTTAGTAATATTTTAAAAATAGTAAATGAAATAAAAGTATATTTATACAATTAATATAAATGATCAACCTTATCGATGACATAATGTAACTAGTAAGTCTTGTTTAATAATGTGTTTTAAAATACGTCAATTAAAACTGTAGTAAGTTTAATCTAAAAATTTTTCTAATTGAGTGTGAAAATATTGGTATTACTGTACTATTCTTTGTTTATATTGATATCGCATTAGATTTCAGTGATGTTGCGATCGTTAAAGCCTTAACTTGAATCGTAAAAAAATATTATAAATATTTGTCTTTACTTTCTATATTAAACTTACTGTCGCTAAAAATGAAAAATCATTTATTCATCTTTTTATATATATATATATATTATCAACGGATCTGACTTTCTATATATACAATCCTTATGTATAATAAATGAGTAATAATAAATTAATTTTACATTTTCCGATCTTCTGTTAATAATTTCTGTAATTGACGTACTTTAGTAAATTTGTTACATTAATTTGTTAATTCTGTGACATTCAAGGTATCTAACAACCAATTTTGTGTATATACAATAATTTCTGAGCTTTGTGGGTAACGTGATTCTACATATTTTCATAGAGTATCGTGTTGCGGACATACATGAATGTAGGTCCTTACGACTCTTACAGTACAAGCGGGTCCACATAAATTATAAATAGTAGAGATCGCAGAATGATTATGAGTAATATAATATTCGCAATAATAGAAAGGAACTATTAGTTTAAAACAGAGGGTAACGCAAACACATATTACGAAGACAGATAGTATGTAATAAATATTAAAAACATTATTATAATTAGGCATCAGTAAGACATGTGTAAAAAGCGGATTCGTTAAGTGCACGGAATATAGATAATGGCAAGCCAGATGACAGATGACAGGTGGTTGACATTGGTAGGTCCGAGTCACTAATGGAAAATGCGCGAATAGTAATATTGACAAGGCCACTAAGGTAATCTGACATTTGGAAAACAACTTTCGCACAGCGTTGCACATTTGCTCTCCACGGGACCTAAGTATATAAGGGGAATAGACCAATATTCAGATGTGGTTTACATGTACAGTCGCAAGCACCTTCACGCCACATTATTTCTTAAATTAATGTTTTGTACTTAGAAAAATTATTGAATAAACAGTTTAAATTACAATTAAGTATTTTTATTGAAGTATTATCCTTAAAAACTTAACTATCAAATACGATTGAGCGACGGCACGCAACAATCGGATGAATTTGTTGAACTTGTAACGAGATTAGAACTACAGACATATCGACAGAGTGCGTCATGTCTAACGTTTAAAAAGTCCAAGCGGTCATTTCCACACATACAGGTAACAGTAAAGAGCACTGGTATCAGTATTACTTCGAAATCGTGACTACTTGTAACTGTAATCTATTGTTACAAAATATTAATGGTTTATTGTGGACTTGATTCAAAAAGAAATCCGTGTCAGATACATTTGGTAACTTGTAATATTGGGAATGATATAATATGTGGAGTATATCGGCATGGAGATATTGTCAATGCAGAGACTGCACATCATGAACTCGTGGACGAATAAACATAGAAATGACTGTGCTTCAGTATTGAAACCACCTTCTCTCCCATCGGCTACTAGAATATATTATATATTGTATGAGTCCACCCCACTGACCAAGCTTTTTATACATAGTTACTATTTATTAATATAACCTGTGAAAACAGTATTCTGGCAATAAGTAAATGTAGAAAGAGTCTTTTAAGACTGACTATTTTAGCGGCTCGCCGTGAAACTATCTGTCTACTTTGTTTTTCCGTATACAAGAACTACAAGTGCAGTTCATATTCAACAGCGTTCAGATCAACTTCGGCGACATTCAAAATAATTTGGCAACATTGAATATATTATAGTTCAACTTAGGTATTTCGTGCCAACTGTTTGATCGTTGATTCCTGTAATAGTAATCTAGTCAACGCTTGGATGTAAAGATAATGTAGAAATAATGAAAGCCAGTTGTGATGATGTAATTTATTAAAACTGTTAAAATTATTCTAATTGCAATAAATTATATTAAATGTAAATATTCTAAGTCCTAACAATTATACTTTATAAAAATAGTTCAAAATTTTTCCAAGTTCAGACCATGACATACACTGACGTGAAGGTGTTCAGTGCCGCATAGCCAAAACTCGTCTGATTTGCCCTTGTTTTCTGGTCCCTTTTATATCCGATATATGTAAGTGTGTATGTGAAAGTGATAATATAAATATGATATTTCTTTATTGATTCTGAGTGTGTGTGTGCTATCTCCCGACCAGCTCATAATTACTGACGCAGATGTCCAGGATGTGGTCACTATTGTTTTGATTGACTATTTTATTTCAATTTCCCATAAAACGTTAATGTGAACCATTTCACTTATCTACGCTTGTGATTTCGATATTCCTAAAGCTCCCTTATTGTAATTTCCAGTATAATAACGACGTGAACATAATAAATAATCTAACTTATCCATAATTGTGGTTTTTTTTGATGTTCATGGGAACCTCCTTATAATTTATTTTTTATTACGTGATTACGCAGGACGTGACATAGGCAACCTTCAGTAATAATATCATTATAATATTATACCATACCTATATATGTGATAAATTACAAATAAAATATCACTCGTAATTTGTTGTAAAATCTTATTATCATTATAAACAAAAGTAATGTAACTTATATATTTTTATTAATACATCTTTTAAAATAAATGGTTACAATTGGCGCCTGGACAAAATTACTTGATTTTGGGTCGTAAAAAATCAACAAACCACTGCGCAAAAGTCAAGAATCGGTTAGGTTAGAATAACAGCACAAGCATATGATATAATGAATGGAAGAAAAGGAACAACGATACAAGAACTTAGAAACAAAATGGACTTACAAAAGTGAAAACAGTATACCAAGGTCAAAAATACATAGAAATAATAATATAAAAGTATCTAAACCAATATTCTACAGGAATAATCGGGATCAACACCCAGTGGACTTCAAGACTATTTTAGATTAAAACAAGGAACATTATTTATTGTAAATTTTAGCAGTGTACATAAATAAATAAAATATTTAAGTAAATATATTCCTAGATTCTGTTGTGTACCGTCAGCTAAGCAGATTCCTTGTTAAAAAATGAATTAGGGTTTTTAAAACATTAACTAAACTCTAAATTAATTGTGATTTATTGTAAAAATAATTCCAAGTTCAAAAATTTTTTTTGTGAAATTTCTATGTCCAAACAATTAAATTATAAAACAGTGAAGGTGCTCGCTACTTCAGACTAAAACCCATCTGAATATGGGTCTGTTTTGTACTTCCTTATATGCCCCGATCTTGTGTGAACTCTCTGTTATTCGTTTTCTCAGTTCTGCGAAATGTTCTAAAGTGTTTTAAGGACCCCACATACGATCAGTTAAACTGTGCAGTTTATAACGTGTGGCGCCATGTATGAGCGATTGACTGAGGTAACTGTGCAGTTTTAGTAAATTTTTACTCTTGTTTTTGACCTGTGTAATTAGTTTTACTTTTTACCGATAAACTGTGTAGTTAGCTCGGGGAATCACACAGTCTTGTCTCGTATTTCTTTTAGTGAGTGTCACACGCATCACTTAAAAAAAAGGTGCTACCAAACATTATTAAAAACACGAACTGTGCACTGTTATAACCGAACGATTTCCGTACTATACTGAACTAAAAAATTTTGAGCCCACACACCTTCAGTTCAGATAACTGTACAATTTATACTCAGTTATTTACACAGTTAAACTGATCATGTATGGGGCAAACACAGCAACAACATCCATAATATTCGTAAATTATGCGACTCTTTAACGATAACAATATAAATTAATTTTATTAATAGCCCGGTTTATTTATAAATTATTATATTCAATGTCATACTTATTAAATCATACCAGTATATGAAACTGATTTTATATCTATTATAATATTATAATATAAAATTTAAATTATACAATATTGTTGATACATAATATATTATAACAATTTTTGAATTGTATTTACATTTATTAATTTTCTAAGCTTAATAATTAGAAAAAATGTTTGTACTTTATATAATTTTACAAACCTAATTTTTATTTTAAAAAGAAGAATTATTGCGATCAAATTTTAAATTTTACGTGACCCAAAAATGGGGTGTGACCCACCAGTTGAAGATCACTGGAATAGAGTATACATATTTGTAATACATAAATCAGTTCGTTATAATTTTCGTGTTGGAAAATACTTGGCCCGTATTATTTGGTATCGCCCAATGTACCTAATTATAAAATGTTTTTGGGAAATTAATTACCGATAAACATAGTTCGGACAAAAAATATGTATAAATATATTAAAATAAACAAATACTATATAAAATGATAATATTTCAATTAAGTAAGAAAATTTTTTATTTATATATTTTATTTATTGATTATATACTTGATACAATTTTGTATAAATTTTTTTTGTGTAAAACAAATAAGAATAATATAAATTATAATTAATTTTAAACGGGATTTTAGATTTTGTAATTTATTTAATAATTGGAACTGATTTGTAATTTATACTAAGTTTTAATGTAGGTACTTTTGTTTTTATCTTTCAGCCTCCAGATATTTTAAACTCATCCACTAGAAATGATTCTCTGATTACTGATCAACACTATGATCGAACTAAAAGATTTTTACTAAGAGGTAAGTACATAATTATACAAAATATAATAAAATTTAATTATAATTATTCATATTATGTTATATTATAATATTGTTAAGTGCCAAGCGTTTGTTACTCAAAAGTGACAATGTTTAAGTATTAACAAAAATATTTCAAATATAATAATAACTACTGATGATGCTATTACGGTTATTTTATTTAAAACGTCCATGACAATATCAGAAGTATCAGATAAGCTTCTTCACTGAGTGTCTAGATCCTAATATATGCTGTTGGATCGCCTCGTCAATTTCTTTTGATAATTTGATTGCTTCTGATTGTATTTTCTTAGAAACAGGGCCGGATTTAGCTTTTTCAGCGCTCAGTGCAAGAATTATTTTGGCGATCCTCCATCTTTTGTTTAGACGTTTTGTTTAGACGAAACATTCGAGTTTAATATAATTTTGTAGAATAATTAATAACGAATGATTGAGCAATCTTCTTTTACATCGAGTTGAATGTATACATGACTTATTGTCTCGTGCCTACAATGAGTTTTTTTTTTGCTGTTCCAACAATAAATAATTTTCAGAATTATGTTATATTTTTATTTAGTTGTTTTTATGGTATTTCTGATATATTGTCTGATATTTTTGTTTAACTCTTTAATCTATGAAAATGGTACTATATAAGTATGTTTTATTATAAAAATTAATATAATAACATATTTTTATGTATATTAATAGGTCGTAGTCCATAATTTCATAATAAATTATTGCTGTTGCAATATCTAACTACTAATATAACAATTATTAATTATATCTCGATATTAATTTTAATTTTATTTTAGATTTCCAGAATATAAGCGAAGAATGTATTAATCAAGACTTTAAAAACCACATGTTGTCATTAGATGAAGATAAACAAAAAGAACAATTAGAAAGGGTAAGTTTTTTTAATTGTTAACAAAAATAGTATTATAGTAATTAATAGGGCTCGGAAGTGCCGGAGTACGATTGCCCGCGGATTATCTTTGTATGTATACCACTGCGCATGGTGCGGGAATAACAAAGAACATGATTACTACCCTTCTAAGGTGTACAACTGCGCGTGAAATTAGATGCGACGTTGCCAAAGTTATTTAATAATTATTTTATGTGTGTATATATATATATATATATGTTACGGGTAATGTTAACATTTGGATAACGTTGACATTATCCGGCTAATGTCAACATTAGCCATCTGTTATGGCTAATATGTAATTTTTCATTTATAAGCAGGAATTATTAACATTATCCGGATAATGTTAATCTTAACCAGTCAATATTGGATAATGTTAAAAGTTGTATATTACATAGACTATAAAGTTTTTATTAGCATTCTATACAATAATAAAGCGTCGGACTTCCAGAATATAATATTTTATCTTGACTTGTAACCGAGTTAGTCAGTTATCTTACCGATAAAGTGAACAATATATCGATGTATAAATGCAAATCATCTAGCATTTTGTGCAGTTCAAAATGTCACGGAAGCGTGCCATGTAATAATAAAGGTTAATACATTTGCGTTTTAATTCTATTGGTACTTAAAATAATATTTTAAGAAATAATTTATAACATAAAATGAAATTCAATATTGTATCATTAGTAGATTAGATTATTAAAAATAAAAAATAAATTCATGTTAATAATATTATGTATTTTATGGTAATTACTAATTTATTGTATGTTAAATATATTTAATATTATTTATGATTTACAATGATTTTATCTCATGCACTTTAAATTTTTATGGTTGTTAAGACATTATCCAAAAGTTCTTGGCTAATATCATATTATCCGGTTGACATTGACATTAGCTAACATTTAATAATATTCATGGCGGGTAATGATAACAGTTGGCTAATGTTGACTAGCTGGATGTCGACATTATCCAAATGTTAACATTACCCTTAACATAAATATGTTACCGCTAGTGTTAGGAGTATAGCTAAACTCAAGTTTAGCCGGCTAATCACAAGTTTAGCCACTGCGTTTGGCAAATATCTATATTTCGGATTTTCTCCACCAATATTTAACATTATCCAGATTCATATGGCTAATATCTAAATAACATTATCCATAAAAGTAATTAAACGGTTTAAGTCGTATAAAAATTCTTTCATTTCTTCTCTTATTCGATAATATTTAATAATATCATAGATTCTGGAATAATTTTAATAATAATAGAGTAGAATTATTATTAAGAATTATTTAGTCAACGATAATATGTACCTATTTTTATTATATAGATTTACGGCTACTTTTCATGACAATGATAATGTAATTCATGGATGGCATGACTATTTTTACTCAATAGTCTGCAGACGGTTGAATACTTTTCCCGAGCACGATGGGACCCCTATCAATAGTTAATACTGAGATATATATATATTATGGTCTCATTTAAAAATTCTTCGACATTTTTATTTTTATATTTTTTTAAATCCCATGAACTTATTATCGAATGCGATATTTTACAAAAGTATTTTTCTGGTCTTGGAAATCAAAATTAACTTAATTGGGATAAACAAAAAAATAATACGTTAATTTCAAGTTAATTTGTAAGAAAATAAGTTAAGTTAATAAGTTAATTTAACCTATCGATTTTTTAAACTGAATCTGCAGGGTGGTTATGCTCACTAGCATTTTTTAAAATGGAATCATCAGTTGTCATGAATACTGTAGGCGTACCTGCTTTTTACAGCCCCTTCATCTGACATATCCTGTGTCTGATGTGTCGAAATTTACTCAACTAAAACACAACTGACAGTAAATAGGGTAGATACATCTTGCATACTATATGCACCCATGCATCTTGCTACCCATACACTGCATAGGTATAAATTATAAAGATAGTATAGTATGATCGTACCTATTCGAGGATTTACAATAAAGATAATAATTCCAGATAAATGTGATGGAATTTAAACGATAAAAAGTTTTCTGGTTTCGGAAATATTAAATAATAATCGCCACAATTCGATTTACCGTGCAACTATATATTTGGCAATGTTTTATAGAAGTATAAATATTATAGCCCACGTAGTCGTACACCTAAAATGGTACCATCGATAAGGACCACGCGCAATCATATCGTAGCCCTCAGAAGTTGTAGGAGCTAAAAAAGGCAAAATATGCATGAAAAAATATATTAAATATGCAAAAAAAATTATTTTGAATTCCAAAAAAATAAATCTGATGTTGTTAATAAATTAATAATATACATAAAAACTATTCATAACTATAAAAAATGTACAACTTTTTGGCATTTATTGACATCTTATTGAGTTGAAAATATAGATAAAATATTTTTAAATGTTTTATAATACCTGTTAAGTTATTCCATTGAATCACCAATACTTACTTAAGATTTTTAATTTCAAATGACAATAAATACCTTTGTTGATAATTTTGAGCTTTATATTCAATATTAATTGAATTATACAGGTTAAAAAAGTTACCAACTCTGCTGCTTTGTCTGTAGTAGCGATGATTGCTTCCTTAGTTACCTCTAATTAATTGCTTTTTACGATTATTTTCAGTTTGTAGAAATGTATGATGTAAATTTATATATATTTTTATTTGATAATTGTTTATTTTTAGTCATTGTATTTACATTTTTAATATTTCTTATAAAAAATAATTCTTGATTTTCATCTTAGTTATGGTTTAAACTCGCTTGATTATTATTTTGTGCTACACCAAATGAAAATAAATGAAAATGTTTTAAATCTAATCGTAGTTAATTATCTAGTTATTTTGTAGTTTAATTTATTAATTTTATCTTTTAGATACTTATTCAAAGTTACAGTGCAACAAATGGCAATTTAAAACAATCCAGAGCTATGATAAAACAGTTAGAAAATAAAATAAAAGTACTTTTTGTTTTCCCAGTAGAACCACCGACATCAGAAGTTAAGAAAAAGTAAATTTATCTTAAATAAATTAATTCTTATGATATATACTAATAAATTATTTAATTATTTTCCAGGATTTTAACATGTATAGAGGATATAAAACAAAACCCTAAAAAGAAAAATATTTTTCACTGTATTTATCGTACAATTCAAAAAGAGACAATTAATAAAAAAATTAAAAAATTATTTGGATCAAAATACTTTGAGTCAGATGAAAAATTTATGAAAGAACAATTTAAAACAAATTTAAAAGAAAAAAGTAAAAATACTGAAAATAACAATAAAATTTGTAGTCTTCAAAAATCTCACAGTCTTCATCATTCACCAAAAAATTCTTCTGAACTGACAACAACTTCTCAATCTTCTATCAGTTCTAAAGTGCTTAAACATCCTATTCCACTCAAGAATAGAACTTCTAATGTCAATAAAAAATCAAATGTAACACAAAACATATTAAAAGAAATGAATGTATCAATTAATGACAAACTGAATAATAATATCAATATTCAAGTTCCTGTAAGCTCTAAACAAACTGAAATTGAAACAAGTAATACTACTATGGAAATTACAGATCAAACTGTTGTCAATAATTTGAATTTTCAAAATGATGGTAATTCTGAAAATATTATTTTAATTGAAAACAATAATATAATAAATTTTCTTATAGGTTATTTGAATGTTCAAGAGAATGACTGTTCTACAAAAATTACTCAAATGAATAAAAATATCTTAGATACCAAGAATTCTACTGAATTAATAAATAATGTTCTAGATGATAAGAACTCAGAAAATATTTCATCAAGACCAAATAGTAGGGGAAATGAACAGCATACAATTGACCATATTATTGAATATCTTGAAACTAACAAATGTAACGGAGATGTTGATTCTAGAATCCTCGAAATGGAAACAAATGTTATAGACATCAATTTGAAAGATATTGGAATTTCTAAAAACAAGTGGGTGAATATAGTTAATACTGATGAAAATATATTAATAGAAATTGAGAATGTAAGATCTATGGGCTTAGAATTTGGTATCAACAGATGTAGATATATGAAAAAAAAATTTACACTCTCCAATTTTGATATAATAAAAAAATTAGCGGCATATTTAGCTAAGGATAAATTTGTGTTTAAATTTCATTTACTTTGGTCGACTTTCCAATCTGAGGTGATTGGACAGTTAATATTAAGCCTTGTGTATGCATTCATCGATATAGAAATGAATGTCCTATACCTTTTACGTTGTTTTATTTATGTATTTTGCTTATTTGCTGAAATATCTTCAATTCCATCAGCCAAATTAAAGAATACATTTGAATTGTTTATTGATATTATAAAAAAATATATAAAACATTATGATGTTAGATTATGGAAAAATTGGTTTGTATCAAAAGAGTTTTTAGGTGTTTGTGCTGTTTTTAAATTTATTTATATAAATAAAAGCTATTTACAAACAGACCTTGGATATGATATAATAGCTGACGCAGATAATTACTTTACTAGGGCTGAGCATGAAAAATATATGTTTATTTCTGAACAACATAAATCAGTCATGTTAAAGAAAAAAAATATATTTGAACCAACCACAATTAATGATAATTTGTCAATTTTAATTGACTTAGTAAAATTAGAATATGACAAAGAGAAGACTATAAAAGAACCAAAAAAGATTCAATTTGAAAACGTTGATGGTGAAATTATAGATTTGACAAATAGTAAAAATAATGATATTCTAAGTATCAGAAGTTTATCTCCTAACAATGTTGATGAAATATCATTGAATACTATGGATGACCATAAAAACGAGATGAGTAAAAATAAGAATAAATGGAATAATCATATTGTAATACCAGACAAAATCAAAAGTATGAATGAGTTTGATGTTATTAGGAAACAAATTAAAAAAAATATCGATTTGGAGAACCAACATGTTGAAATACCAAATTCGCCCAAAAATAAAAATAATGATGTTATATGTGACATTAATTCTTTTTTTTACAGATGTAAAGATAAAACAACAAATATTGAGAATATGGTGAACCATCCTATTCAAAAGTCAGATACAACCAACAGTAAACGGAGAATTCATTTAAAGCCAAAAAATGCTGCTACTATCAGATCCAAATTTGAATCGATTCATGTTAAAAATAAAAACTTAGTGAACCATTCCGTTGAAAAGTCTGATTCGACCAACATTACAAATAATGGTATCATACAGGTTAATAAATCATTATCTACAGAAACTAAAGTGACAAATACTGAGAATAATCCTATAAGAGAACCAAGAACAACAAATATCAAATGCGATAACTATACTGTTGAAAAGCTAAATTCAAAGAAGCATAAAAAAAATAACATCCTAAAGGTGAGTAAATCATTATTTATCAGATCGGAATGTAAAATAAGAAATGCTATTGGGGAACCAAGAACAAAAAACATCATATTGGAGAACCAAACTGATGAATCAATCGATTCAGTCATCAGTAAAAACAATGGACCATTATCCACCCTATCCGAAATTACATTGACAAATGCTGAAATTAGTATTGATGGAAGCAAAAATCAATCAGACAATTATTCTGTCGAAACAGATTCGACCATCAGTAAAAACAATGAACCATCCACCCTATCCGAAATTACATTGATAAATGCTGAAATTAGTCCTGATAGAACAAAAAATCAATTAGACAACTATTCTGTCGAAA